AATGGAATTTGTTACGCCTATCAACCATCTACTATGAACAAGATAACTTACAGTGTTCGAGTAATGGAATTTGTTACGCCTATCAACCATCTACTATGAACAAGATAACTTACAGTGTTCGAGTAATGGAATTTGTTACGACTATCAACCATCTACTATGAACAAGATAACTTACAGTATTCGAGTAATGGAATTTGTTACGCCTATCAACCATCTACTATGAACAAGATAACTTACAGTATTCGAGTAATGGAATTTGTTACGCCTATCAACCATCTACTATGAACAAGATAACTTACAGTATTCGAGTAATTTTATTCGAGATTAGTTGAATTTAATTTTTTTTTTGATTAAATTTGTTCAATGTAATATTTCTCCGAATTTTTGAAATCTTGCTTTAATTTCTTATTTATCCTCTCTCTATTATTATTTCATAATTACTGATAAGTTGAAATTTTTTCCACATTCATCTTAATATTATTTTGATAATAATCGGTATTTATTTATTTTTTAGGAAGAGGGGTCATTCTTCCGCTTACTGAACAAGAAATCAAACCATCAGCTGTCATGAAATCCGCTAGATTCCAAATCATTTCACCGGTAATTGTGTGATTTTTCCGCAATATATCAAATGCAATATGTGTCTGTTCTAGCAATTCTCGCTGATATTGCTCACTAAAGGCACGACCTGGCTCCTTAAAAATAATTCGTTAACAATGTTGCATATGCGATAGTTGGAATCAAAAATTGTTTCACTGTCATCAATTCCCGAAAATGATGTGACAGAAAATGAAAACGAAAATAATGTTTCGTTTTACTTTTATTTATTCTTGAATTAATCTTTTTTTTTTTTTTTTTTGGCAGATAAAATTGTACGAATATTTTGTGTACCTGATTTAAACCTGGTAGCGCTTCTGCACCATATTCCGATATAATAATTGGTTTATTGTACTTAAATTTCCAATTGTTCACTTCAAATATCCAACTCTGATTAATGATTTCCAAATAACCAATGTCAATGTACCAGCCAAAATATCGATTAATGCAAATTAAATCGAGTAAATCAGCCTAAACATTATTAATTGAAATCAAAAAGATATTAAAAAATTTTGATCAAAACAGAAACAGGAGTAAATATGTCAAGTACTTAGATTCACTTAAATAAATACTTTTATAAACTAGCTTTAACATAATTAGAGAAATATACTCGGCACTACAAAACATGAATTGCTTATAATAACTGAAGAATTGATTCATGAAATTCCAGTTTCTCGAGAGATAGATTTTCCTTGAACTGAAGGCAAAACCTTACTATTTGATCGGTGTCAAAATTCGCTGCTACTACAGTGGTGACAGGCCGAGTTGGATCAAGAATACGCGTCAGATTGATGAGTTCACTAAAATTTAATTATAAGAAATTCAATTTCTTTCCTTCATTTGTTTTTTAATAACTTTAGCACGCTTTTGCATAGATTATTGCGATTAATTGGATCGGCAATTCGTAAGAAACAAAGGTTATATATAATTTGTAATCATTAGCCAACGACAGGTTGTATAATTTAATTATTGCATTGTTTTCAAACTTATCTTTTAAAGGTAAAAACAGCGTTCCTTCTTCATTCACTTTATCATATCTCTTATCTCTTCATTGCTATTAATGCCAAAACGGGAAAGTATATCAAGGAAAAATAGAAAATTTAATTAACCTGAAATATGGTCGAGCCGCTGGATCACTGGATACTGGCTCGTTAGCTAATGACCACATAATTGTTGATGGATGATTTCGATCACGTTCAATCATTTCACGTATTATATCTGCATGTAATAATTGGTTTTCTTTTGTAAAATACCTGAAATGATTGAATTATTTCACTTATGTGTAGATGAAATAAATTTTTAATGAATATAAACGATAAGTTTAGATATTTTGCAATGCATGATAAGTGTACGGTACTCTACTTATTGCACGACTCATAGTTGCATTTTAACTTTTACACATTTTAACTTCTATCTGAAATAATTCCAAAAACTATACCTACTTAAAAAACTTTATACATGCAAAGGAATTTAACTTCCTGAAATTGAAAATTGATCTTCATGCAATGTCAAGTGATCATACCGTAGAATCGCTTTTATGATTTTATTTTCGCATAGATAATTTTATTTGAAAGCTTTAAATATTAAAAAAATAAAAATTTTTTTTCTTAATTTACCTTAATCCAACAGCGGGTGTTTCGGTAATAACAGCAATACCACGACGATCAGCTTCAGAAGCCATTTCCTCACTATACGGATAATGTGATGTACGATAACAATTACCATTCATCCATTCGAGCATATTTAAATCTTTGATCATCACTACTGGATTATAACCACGACCATGAAGCTGAAACCTAACATTAACGTATAATTTATAATTTTCAACTGGAATAAAAATGAAATAGCAGGAGTCACTACAATTATTATCATTATCTTTTGGGCAGCATTTCTTTAATTCGGTCAAATATTTCCAATTACAGATTTAAATTAAGATATGAAAATAATAATTTTCCTTATCTATAGTTCCCATTTGTTGCATGCAATTATTACTAATAGTTGCTAACACTAAATTTGTAATTAATTAAATTTCAAAAAATATCTCAATTAGATAATAATTAATTTGAAATGTTTTAGCAAACATCTCATTATTTAAATCATCAAAACATCTTTTTTTTTTTGATTTTTGAATGGGAAAAAAAAATGTGATTAAACATGAAAATTCAGAAATAGTAATAAATTTATAAAAATCAGAAATAGTAATAAATTTATAAAAATCAGAAATAGTAATAAATTT